TAAATGTACGAGTCTCACTAGCGCTCTGTTCTTCCGACAGATTGGAAGAGAGGGGGTGGTGTTTTGCGTGATGTCGACCTGCGAATGCAGACACGATGGCTGGATTGCATTTACATTACACTGAGATCCGATCACAATGCGTCCTCGACTACCTCTGGACCAGGACACGCTGATCGGATAACATTCCGATCAGAAGCGCGTTTACACTTGACTTTTCAATTTGTAGGTGGACAACATCCGGATACAGGTCGCATGTTAAAGGGGTCATATGATGCGATTTAAATTTTTCCTTTCTCTGGCCGTAACATTTCCGTCCCATGTTTGAGGTATTCAGCCAATCACAACACACTGATAGCTGGCCAATCAGAGCACACCTCGCTTTTCAGACCGATGAGCTTTGTAAAAATCGACGCGTTTCAGAAAGGCGGGGCATAGAGGAGAAACAATAATGTACAGTATGTGGAAAATAATGTGTGTTTTTAACCTTAAACCGCATAAACACATTTCGTTACACCAAATACACAAAATAACGTTCTTTTTAGCAACATCATATGACCCCTTTAATGCCAAGTGTAAACTCAGCCAAAGAGGCACAGAGAGTATTTATGTGTTGTGGTTCATTGAGATTCCTCCTCTACCAATGAGAACACACAAGCACTAATTAAGCACTAATTGAGAATTCATTGATCACAGCTGTAGAGGAGCTTTGAAAACTCCTGCGGTCCATCATTTGTCTGTTTTACTCTGAATTAATTTTCTCAAAATGTGCATTTAGGTCAATAGAAAATAAAATGTAAATGGCTGTCAAGCCTTAAAATGACCTAAAAAAGTATATTAAGTCTGAATCTGAGTCACTGAGTCTGACACCTTGACACAATCTGACACATTGTGCTAATGGCTTTAAAAATGACCAAATATTCTAGCAGTAGTTCATATGACTCATGCACTATATATATATGTGTGTGTGTGTGTATGTATTCCAAGTCTTCTGAAGGTAAATGATCATAATAAATGAGGAGCAGACTGAAACTAAAGCGTTTTTCACAGAATTTGACTTTCATCACTGCTCTCAAATTTCATGTTACAGAGATTCTCAAGTCAAAAATTCCAGTCAAATTTATCTCCGTACACATTGTTTCAAAACAGCATTTTTGAGTGAGGAGTCCTTTGTGGGAAAAAAAATATTTTTGTCAAAAGAATTTCTTTTAATTATTTTTTCAATGTGAAAATTTTTATTTTATTTAAAAAATAGTTTATTTTGTTTTTTAATGTAAGTGTGTATTCAGCTCTGTATTCAGAAAAAGTATCAGTTGCTGTCTATATATATATATATATATATACACACACACACACACACATACAGTGCCAACCATTAATATTGGCACCCTTAATATGAGCAAGCAAAGGTCTATATATATATATATATATATACACACACACACACACACATACAGTGCCAACCATTAATATTGGCACCCTTGGTAAATATGAGCAAAGGTGGCTGTGAAAATAAATCTGCATCTTTTATCTTTTTGATCTTTCATTCAAAAAATTCAAACCTATCATTGAAGTAAAACAATGGAAATTGGGGGGAAACTCACATTAATAAATAAATGTTTTTCTCCAATGCATGTTGGCCACAATTATTGGCACCCCTAGAAATTCTTATGAGTAAAATATCTCTGAAGTATATTCCCATTCCCATTCGTATTGCCATGACTTCCTGTTCCACAGGATTGAAAATAGAAGGACACAAAGGCCAAATTCCCTTAATCATCC